GGCTGTGGTCCATGTGATCAGGCACATCATAATCTCTTGATAATTCTTTTTCCTGGTTCCTTCTCCTTTTTCTCACCTCTATTATTGGGTAGCTCCAAGGCTCACCTCTTGGTGATTTTGTCTACTACATGCACACTCATGGCCTTGGCAATCCCATTCAAGTTCATGGTTCAATCCCATTTATAAGCCAGTAACTCCAACCCAGACCTCTCTCCTGAACTTCAGCACAGGTAACTGCCTACTTGACACTGCCACTTGGATGTCCAAAAGGCACCTCACATTCAACACATCCACAATGGCCTCCTGAATCCTTCCTCCCTCAAAATGCCTGGCTTCACCTTCCCTACTGATGTTGTTGGAAAGTGCATTCTTCCTACTGCTCACATCAGAACTCTTGTGCTTATGCTCGATTGAAAATGCACTCTCTCTCATACTAGAAATCCTTTAGGCTCTACCTTCACAAGTTTATGCAGAACCTGATCACTTCTTCTCACTCCGCAGCTACTGCCCTCACCAACAGTGCCTTGATTCACTCTCAAAAATGTTTTGATTCGAATGAATTATGGTCACCCTAATATAAGGCCCTCCAAGGTCTCACTCCCCAGCCCACCCCAGTGCTCCCTCCATTACTTTCAGGGGCTCTCATGACATTCCAGCCATGATGGCCTCCTTGCTAATCTTTGGTGAATTAGGCACATTTCTGCCTTTGGACCTTTGTCCTGGGTATTCCCTGTCTGGACTGCTTTCTTCCAGATATCCGTGTGGCAAGTTCCTCACATCTTTTAAGTCTCTGCTCAGTTTTTAAATGTTCAGTGAGACCCCCAGTTTACTACTGGAATGAGCCTATTCCTCCATTAATTGTCATATTTACCCTGCTCTTCATTTTTCTGTCTCTATTGTACTTACAACCTTTCAACATACTATATAATTTTACTTATAATTGTCCCTTTGATCAGCGGAGGACAGGTTCCAGGATTCTGGAAGACAGAAAAATCATAAATGCTCAAGTATTATACATTATATAAAACAGTGCAGTATTTGCATATAACCTATGTATAGTCTCCCATATATTGAGTTGTCTCTACAACACATAATACCTTCTACAATGTAAATGCTATGTAAATATCAATAGCTGCCAGAACTTGGCAAATTTTCAAGTTTTGCTTTTTGAAACTTTCTGGATTCTTTTTTTCCAAATATTTTTGACCCACAGAACCTCTAGATTTGGAGGGCTGACTGTATTTATTAATTCATTTGTCTCCTTTCATTGGAATGGAAGCACCTTGAGAGCAGAGCTCTTCTCCTCACTGAGGTACCTCAAGGGTAGACCCTGCCTGGCACATATATGTAGGTACTCAGTAAATGAAGAAGCAAACACGTATATACTAAAGACATTGGTCATTGTGTCCCTCTTTATAATTTCTCGGTTCGTTGTCTTCCTCTTGTTATGATCCTTCCGCTTGAAACAGACATTGACAAAACATTTAACTGTGGCTCAGAAACCACCCCACCCCTCCACTCAACAAGGATAAAAGCAGACTAACAGACTGAACATGAAAACCCTGGCATTAATCACTATTTACAATTTTCACAGTGATCCAAGAGATCCATGCTGTTCTTATCTAATTGTCTTGCAGATACCTGGCACTGAGTCTTAACCTCCTATCATGAACTCAGGTTCACTTTCAAAACTTCCCATAGTTGAGCTGCAAAGGAATTCCTGACCAAGAGTGCCACCTACTGATCAATAGGTGAGAAATCAGGACAATGAGGTAAAAAGTACAATGCAGTATGCAGTCTAACTTGAAAAGTAGGAAAAGATAGGAATGAAAAATCCCATCAAGTCAGTAAAATAAATTCCTTTTCCTAAAGAGTGTTAGCCAGGAGTTAACTCTGAATTCTACAGCAGGAGTAAGTAAATATTGTTCAATTGTAAAGAATCATAATAACCAGAGAAGATGAAACATCTCCAAAATATTAACAGGGCAACTAGTTTTCTACAAATAACAGCAAATTTTCACCAGTAACTTAAAGAGTTATGATATTTGAGATGCAAAGCAAATACATCTGTTGTTTTAATTTCCCCTCACATACAAATAAAAGCTAATCTAAGGAATTTTCTGTGGTGCAGTAAGAGTCTGCCTTCCAATGTAGGGGGTGTGGGTTCAACCCCTGGTTGGGCAGCTAAGATCCCACATGCCTTGGGGCCAAAAAACCAACATATAAAACAGAATAAATATCGTAACAAAAGAAAGACTTAAAAAAAAGAAAGAAAACCTAATCTAACTTGAGATTTAAAATTCACTAGAAAAAAATTACAGAAAAAGCATTTGAGATAATGCCAAAGCAGTTATATTGGAGACTATACACGATACTTATATTTTGGAGGGGGGAGGTCTTATTTCCCTGGCCAGGGATTGAAACTGTGACCTCTGCACTGGAAGTGCAAAGTCTTAACCACTAGACCATGAGGAAAGTCCCCGAGGCTATACATTATAAAGTTTCTCCTCTTTAAAAGTGTAGATAGACATTTTCTTGGTTATTTAAATGCAATATTGTTCAGTGTCAGTGAACACAGGTCATGAATTCTAAGAAGGGCTCAAAAAATAAAGTGGCATTTTCATGTTTATTTGCCAATATCTGGTACTTCTTCATTATCAAAAGTCTCTCTGTCTCCCGGTTTCCTGCCACAAGTACTATTTGTGATGACAATTGGCTGACATACGCTCTAATCATTTATTCACTCCTAACTTACATTCTAAGCACTTGATTTTGCTTTTATACTGTCTTCATTAAACAAAAATGTTAATAAAACATTTCACTGAGAAATTAATATTTGTTGTTGCTGTTCAGTCTCTAAGTCATATATGACTCTTTGCGACCCCACAGACTGCATTACACCAGGCTCCGCTCCCTTATCCTCCACTATCTCCTGTAGCTTGCTCAAATTCATGTCCACTGAGTCAGTGAAGCTATCTAACGATCTCATTCTCTGCCACTCACTTCTCCTGCCCTCAATCTTTCCCAGCATCAGGGTCTTTTCCAATGAATCAGCTCTTTGCATCAAGAAGCCAAAGTGTTGGAGTTTCAGCTTCAGCATCAGTCCTTCCAATGAATATTCAGGCTTGATTTCCTTTAGGACTGACTGGTTTGATCTTGCAGTCCAATGGACTCTCAAGAGTCTTCTCCAACACCACAGTTCAAGAGCATCAATTCTTTGACACTCAGTCTTCTTATGGACCAACTCCCACACCCATATGTGATTACTGGAAAAACCATAGCTTTGACTATAAGAATCTCTGTCAACAAAGTGATGTCTTTGCTTTTTAATATGCTGTATAGGTTTACATTGTCAAAAATCAGAAAGAGAATAATACAACATATTTTTAAAAACCCTAAAGAATAGAAATTTCATAAGGGAAAACCTAAGGAACGAAACAAGTTTATACCTCCCATGTGTCTTCCCACTTTAAAAATTACACAGGAACAGTAAATAGGAGAAATAAAAGAGCAGAAGTGGCTTTTATCCAAAACAAAAATAGCCCATTATTATATTCATGAACAGATCAGGTTAAACATAATAAATTCCAAGAGAAGATAATTTAGAAAAATGCATTTAATTATAAAAAAATTTTTTAAATAAAAAAGCAATGGCACAAATCATCACAAAGGTATTTAAGTGATCATATCCACAGGCTGCTCTTAATTAAAATTTTTTGACTGTTCTCATTAGCAGCATTTTCCCCTCCTAATTAGAGTGACATCAAGAGCTTCTGAGAATGCACAATGTTTCCTAAAGTCCTACTAAAAAGTATCATAAACACAGTTTGTGCAACATTTATGTACATCACTTTTATTCACTACACTCTAAACTCATAAAATATGGAACATTTCTCTCTCACTTCATTCCTCTTATTTACAGTATGGAGGCTCATCTCTTATCATTATATGGTTTGTGCATTAAAATCTCTGGGAATGGTCTTCCCACAGCATTTTAATAAATTTGCTCTGATTAAAATAAGTACACAAAAGCTTGTTCATATATTGGTGTCATACTCAGAAGAATAATTCTTCCTGCAACTCATTTATGAGTAAAAAGGAAAAAAAAAGATTCCTCTTTCAGCAGAACACATTTTCAACAATGACTGGATCACACTACTGCACGTATTTCTACTGCTAATACGACAACAGGGAAAGCCAGCTACAACTTTTTCATTTAGGAGACTACAGCATACACAAAATGATCTTCCACTCTCTCATTATCCATAATCCAGTTATTCCACATGGATATATTTTATTTATTCTGAGTATGTAAGTCTCAAACAGTGCAGTAATAATTGGCAGTTTCTGACAGTTCTATTTTCTTAATATTGGATACAGTTCTGAGCACATATGTCAGCTGAACTGAAAAAAAATGCAAGTCTCTTCATATGATACAGCAGTAAGAAGTGGGATGCCACTGTCTGAACAAATGACTCAAACAGATGAATGTTAATGTACAATAGAGACAGAAATATTGCTGAACTCAGTCTGTTTCCAGAGGTACTATCTTCACATCTTGCTATACCTGATCCCGGTTATCTTTCCAGTTGAAAAACAAACCCATCTGGGGAAAGGCAGGCGTCAGGAGGAGAGAAGGGTGAAAATCCACATTATTACTGTATACATCGTTTCAGAACAGAAAGAGAGGGGGAAGAGAGTATATTTTCATATTAAAAAAGGATGTCGCATCTGGACACATTCCATGGAGTGGATGAAAATAGCCTGCAAGCTAATTAAGCGCCTTTCTTCTCACTCCAGAGATTTTTCCTAATATGAATAATAATAACTAACATAATCTGGCAGCAGCACAAATCTAGAACTTTTTAAGGCTCAGTGTGTGACTATTCAAGAGTAGGGTATATCTGAATAATAAGAGTCCCACCATTTATTTTGTTTACACTCTTGACCCAGCAAGTATGATTAAGGGAGTCCTTATGTCTATCTTCAGCTTAAATCTCCTATGACGGCTTTGACTTTATAACCCACTCAGCACTGGGGTTGAGTTGATATAAGTCCTTCATGTAAGTGTCGTCATCGAGGCAGCGTTCCCCTGGGAAAGAGATGTTACATCAGTTTAATACAGTGAGCGGGGAGATGGAGAGGCAATTTTAAATTTATGCCTCATGGTTTAACTCTGGAGTCTTACACTTTGAAATAGTTATCATTTTTTCCCACCTCCCATAATATTAGACCCCATAATAAGGCTTAGGCCAATGATGGAAAAATTAATTGAGTAATCCTTCTCCAAATGCAGCTCAGAGGCTAAAGCGTCTGCCTGTAATGCAGGAGACCTGGGTTCGATCCCTGGGTCAGGAGATCCCCTGGAGAAGGAAATGGCACACCACTCCAGTATTCTTGCCTGGAAAATCCCATGGACAGAGGAGCCTGGTGGGCAACAGTCCACAGGGTTGCAGAGTCGGACACGACTGAGCAACTTCACTTTCACGTTCTCCAAATGCATAGGTTTCAAATGAAGTTAGGAAGTTGAAAATACTGTCTGTGGTTCATTAAAAGTTTATTCACCTTTATTAAGTGAGAAACCATGCTTAATTCCCAATATCTAATAGCAAAATGCTCAAATATACTAATACTTGATTAACAGAGTTAACAATCCAGATTTCTAGTAGAATTGTGATTTATTTAAATTTTTGAAGGAAACTTCATATTCTTGTATTTAAGTTTACTAAAAATGTTTAAGTCCTAGAAAAGAATTCTACAAAACTTATCTTAAGGTATTTTCAATGTCTATTTTGAATTTATTTGTTGACAATTTCACTCTTACCATTTGAAGGATCAAAAAAAGAAGGCAGTTTTACTTTAATAAGATGAGTACAACCCATTGATAGTTATAAGTGGGCAAATAAAATATGAGACATCGTCAAAACTAATCCATTTATCCTATTTCTATTTTATAAGGTACCAAAGTGTGTTATGTATACATATGTGTATTATGTAGTAGGCAATCAATAGTGGCAAAATAACTTCGGTTTTCACTAAACAATACCCAATACTATACCATAATAAAAGTATCATCTTGGTCTTAAATAAGCTCACTCCCTTTATTAAGATGTGCTCTCAGCACACACACACACACACAAAAGAGGTTTTGAAAAAATTCATTGACCATTTCAGCAGTTATTCCTATTTTAGGGAACTTGCCTTCAGCTCAGGGTCCACATAGAAGGAGCTCTAAAGAGCCAGAATAGAAAGGCCACGCCATAAAAAAAAACAACAACAACAACAAAAAAACTCATCAACTATAATACTCATCAACTGTCTACAGAGTGTTATATTTTACTTCAAATTCCCTTTTCTCTCCCGAAGATATAAAAAACAACCACTGGCAATGTCAAATAAGCATATGGAATAAAAGATTTTTTAAAAAATGTGCTTACCAATATTTCCTCCAATTTCATACAAAAAAACTTCCCCATTCTTGAGAGTCTGGGCAACTCCACTAGTAGGAACAAAACAACCTGATTAGTTGCATCATCAGACAGCTTGCAAGTAAATCACTTTAATGTGCTTGGGGAATTCTAGCTTGTATGGGAAATTCATAACTTAGACATACTGTAATTATCTACACGTTTGTATTTTCCCATCTGTTAAATGTGTTGAACAGTAATAAAAATGTCACACCTGTAAATTAAAATAAACAAATGGAATCGTACATCCAAAGGTGAAATAATAAATCAGTACCTAAATTTGTAAAGTTAAAAAGAAAAGTAACATTTTAGCTGTCTGTAAAATTATTAATATGGTCATCTATTTTGCATAGGGGCCAAAAAGGTCCTCATGAAACTCTAAGGAGAAATGTTTGCACATTGCATTTATTCAATAGTATTTCTCACAGGATTGCTGTGCTGACCACTCTGATAGCGTACAAGATGAATATAAAGAATACAGCATAGTTCATAAGCCTCCCTGTGCTAACTGTTCCAATATGGGAGGTAAATGCTCTCAAAAATAGAACCAGATACTCATTATGATGACTTTACAAGTAGAATGCATCTACAGGTTTACACTCTTCAAAGAATAAAGTCTCCAGAACATTAGGTTTAAACAGTGGCAAAATTAAGTGCTTTACAAAAATCTCTATTATCTAGAAAACTTGCCAAAACCAGATTCAGAGCTCTAGAAAATCTGATTTAATATGCCTAGATCAAGCCCTAGAATCTGGTTTTCAAACACTCTCTGGTAGACTCTGATGCACAGCAGGGTTTGTGAGCCACTGACAGAGACACCGAGGACAAACTCCCTGGAACTGACAAGAGTAACCAGGGCTGACTTTTCCCCCAAACCATTAGAAAGATGTGATGCAGCAGAAGCTTTCCTAACCCACCATTCATGGCTCCTCGCGTTACCCAGCTCCATCTTCTTTGCTGTCCACAGCACTCTGACCACTCAGGGCTATGGGCGTTCTCAAGCTTACGAAACTCCCTGTTGAGCCATATCCTGACCAAGAGACAACTCACTTTGCTTCCAAACTGGTGTATGCTTATTTTTGAAATTAAATAATTTAATAATTACAGTTTCATTTTTAATATAGCATATAACCTGATAAACTATAATAAGAGTCATTATTTTTATGAAAACCAAATGGAATGTTTTGGGAGACTAGGAAAAAAAAAAATCTAGTCAGGTTATTGTTCTCAGATTGCTTCTCCAATATTTATACTCTTATTTTAAAGAAGCCTAAACTATATTTCCTGGCATACATTAGCTTTCACTTAACACTAATCAACCAATCCATAATTAAAGAAAAGGCAACAGCTATTACCAAAGACTGGTGAATGAATGCGCAATTTATTGCACGTTTACTTTATGTCATTTGTATGTTCTTGGCTTCAGTAGAGAAAGCAGAGGAGGAAAAGGATGGAGGGAAGTGGGGTTTCCCATTGTCCCTATACAAGTGGAAGGCAAAGAAGGAGGGCACAGTCATGGAAGAAAAGATTCATGTAAGTACTCACTGAAAACATCACTTATTAGATGGCCCAGACAGATAATGCTGTGTGCTTCATGGTCATTTTCCTACTTAATTATCACACGGCTTTAAGTAGGTCCACTTTTACAATGAGGACCTGAGACTTACAGAGATGATAAAAACTATCCTAACATAAAACAGGAAAATCTGGTATTTGGATCCGTATTATCTGGTTCCAGCATCCCCAAGCATAAAAGAAAGGGCTGAGGACTGGAAGGAGAAAAGGCAAATGGACCAAGAAGTTTGTTAGACTTCCCTTTGGGTGGAGCAGGATGGGGAAAGGAGAAGGTTTAGAAGAAAGGATTTGGCTTTAGTGGGTAGCAAATGTTTGCTCAATAAAAGCACCACAAGCAGTAAATCCAAATAGACAAAGGGCAATTGTCACAAAACTAGTACTTTCTTATAAGAATATGTCTACCATTATCCTCCATGACCAAAAACTCTGGGAGTTGGTGATGGACAGGAAGGCCTGGCGTGCTGCGATTCATGGGGTCGCAAAGAGTTGGACATGCCTGAGCAACTGAACTGAACTGAACCAGTATCCTATTTTACCCTAACTATAAAAGTCACAGTGGAGTGCATCATACAACTTTAGAGCCACACCTCGTATTACCTACAAGTGGAGAAGCACAACTGCAGACGAAATTGAGCATCTGGGTCCTGCAAGTAAACACTGCATAAATTAAACTATGGCCAGCCTGGAAGAGCCACTTATATCTGAAGTCTGGCCAGACCTTCAGGTACATGCTTTGGGAGAGGATGGGAAGCCATTCCTGGTGGGGAGAATGGCATCTACTTGGTCAGTTCAGGGAACAGAGAGGAAGTGGATTGATTTCCTCGAGGCAGAGAGACCTTTTAGGGAGCAAAGACATCCAAGAAACTCCAACTGCTCCCAGGACCTAATCCCACCCCACCAAATTCCAACTGGTCCAGGAATTAATCCCCCCAAAGTCCATCTACTCCCAGACTCTACATCAGTGGTCCCCAGACCCATGATGACCTCTTGGTCCCTGAACCAGTAAAGGAGGGATTAAAGAACTTCCTTCGGGGACAAACCCCAGATTTAGAATTCAGCTCCAACACCCAGGTGACATGTGACTGTGAAAGTCTCAAGTTTTCTTATCAGTAAAATGGAGGTAATGATAGTACTTCCCTCAGAGTGTGGTTGAGAGGGGAGTTTAAGCCCAGAATTACCAATAAGCCTCTCTTTTATTTCATCACCATCTGTTAACTACACAGGCTCATGTTTTCTTCCAATTTACAAACCGCAAGGGAAGACACTTTAAAATATTTTTTATACCCTTTTCAACATCTAGCAGAGGGCCATAGACAGAGCAGAGACATATTAAATACATGCAGCTCTGTATTAAAACTGGAGACGTTTTGACAGAAAACTTGAATGAAAGAATGAAGAGATTAAATTCTATGGGAGATAAATCAGTATAAAGAAGCTAAATAGCTAATGCCTCTGAGGTCTCTGTCTTTAAAAAAAAAAGGTTAGATCTGTTTATTTCAATAAGTGGAAATGAGGAGAGCATTAAAATATAATTTTAGCTAAAAATAAGAACTTGAACACTGAAATATCCATACCCTGTTCGAACCTCCAAAATTCAAGAAAAGATATCTCAAACATGTCTCAAAAAGTATGTATCGGGGAGGTGGGAGGGACGTTCGAGAGGGAGGGGACACATGTATACTGATGGCTGATTCACACTGTGTGCTGTACGGTAGAAACCAATACAACATTGGAAAGCAATTATCCTCCAGCTTAAGAGGGATGCCAATGTCTTCCCTTTGGACTCCTCCTGCCTCATCAGCCCCTAACAGAGGGGAAGACTTGGTGGTCTCTACTGAGGATGGGGTGCCTGGTCCTGTGACTTCAGAACTCCATGGGCCAGTTGCCCCCTCTGAATTCTTTATACTTTCTGTCTTAAAATTTAAGCATTTCTTTGTATTCATTATATTTCATTGAAAAAGTTGTATCTTTTGTTTTAATCCCACTGTATCCCAATTAGTGGTTTTTCTAACAGACTACACATAGTAATTAACCTCCAATCACCATATTCTGGAAAGAATACTGAGTAATGTCATGCGCCAAGTCCATTGCAGACACAGTGAAGGAATGCTCAGACCTCCTGCCTGCAACAGGCCCAACTTGAACACAAACTACATGCAATGAACTCGACTCATTCCAACAGTATTATTTTTAAGTCTCCTTTTTTCTTCTGCTAACATTTTAATCCCTTCACACCAGCCATTGTTTAAAAAAAAAAAAAGGAAGAAAAAAAAGAAAAAAGAGGGGAGGGAGAGAGAGCAAGTGAGTGATACTATGGAATAATTAAAACAAAACAGGCCTCTACCTTTCTTGGCTGAGAAACCTGGCAAGCACATCACTGGCTTTGAGTTCTTCAGTTAGCTGTATTGCCATGGAAACTTTCGAGAGATGGGGAGCTTGTACTCGAATCACTCCCTGAGGAACGTCAGCCTGCAAAGCAATAATGACACTGGAACAAAGCTGGCAGCAGCTGGAACGTGTAACTCTGTACAATGCATTATACGGTAAGTGTGCTTAACTACTATGCATTTTACTTCACTACATAAAAACCTTAACTACTGTATAATGTAATTTACTAAATTACATCAAACCTCAAATATCCTCTTAATGGTGATAGGGGAACTTTATAATGCCTGTGCAGTAATGCTTAATTATTTTTAAAGATGTAAAGAATGACAGCAATAACCATTACTGCCATATTAAGTGCTGATTTCTGAGTATTATCTACTGGAGGGTGCTTCTTCATGTAGCAATTTATGAAATTGAATCAGAATGAAGTTACTTTGCGGGCTATTGCAATGTATGCATTAAAAAAAAAAAAACTCCCTGCACATTCACAAAACTTCACAAAAATTCTGTCCCTGAGAGTATTAAAATAAATGAAACATACTTTCCCAATACCCTTGTAATTCTGTCAGCTCCTCATTGGGTTGATAAGGACACACTGTGACTGCACACTTTGAACCCGAGAAGACTCATTCTAAATCCTGTACCCACAGATGTTAAGAACATTTTATGTATTTGGGAGGCTATCAAAGAAAGCTTTTGAGGATCATAATATCAAAACATCAACTATGGCATTCAAAAATATTAGGCTTAATTAACCTAATGGTTCTGCTAAAATAAATATTAACTTATTATTTATAACCATATGTTCTTGAACAAACCTTAGACCAAACAGCATGCACAAATTATGTTTAAACATAATGCTTTAAACGCTACAAATACCCTGTTTAATTCAACCGGAATTTACTAAGCATCTACTGAGTACCGCATTGTGCTACTGGTGTTTAGCAAATTTATTTACTTAGCCAGTAAATAAATAAGACACAAGTCCTTTGGTGTACAATATAATTGTTGTGCTCACAGCATCATTTTTTAATGTATATGGTCTTGAATTTTTTTAACAAAGTATAAATATACCATAGGTGGAATTAATGTGATACTTTTCAACATGTAACAAAAATAAGATGATTTTTAGATCACGTTGCATAAAAACATAGGTGTCCTCAAAAGATATCAGATTGCTTCTCAGCAACATCTGAGATGCAGTATGGGAATAACAAAGAAAAGTGATACGGCATAGGACTATCAAAGGAGCAAAGGACTGTGTATGACGACAATGGTATTGTTCCCCCAAACGAATCCCAAACACCCGTTTCACGTGTAGAGACAGCCTGCGCCCTCATCTGACCACTCGATGAAGCCCTAAAGGGTGCAGGCCCCTCCAAGCCACACAAAGACAAATCACGTGGGGTTGCCCACCGGCCATCCAGCTGGGGATGGACTGCATTCCTAGCACCCTGGCCTGAGTCCTCTACCTGGGGATGGGCTGCATTCCCAGCACCCTGGCCTGAGTCCTCTCCCTGGGGATGGGCTGCATTCCTAGCACCCTGGCCTGAGTCCTCTCCCTGGGGATGGACTGCATTCCCAGCACCCTGGCCTGAGTCCTCTCCCTGGGGATGGGCTGCATTCCCAGCACCCTGGCCTGAGTCCTCTCCCTGGGGATGGACTGCATTCCTAGCACCCTGGCCTGAGTCCTCTCCCTGGGGCTGGGCTGCATTCCCAGCACCCTGGCCTGAGTCCTCTCCCTGGGGATGGGCTACATTCCTAGCACCCTGGCCTGAGTCCTCTCCCTGGGGATGGACTGCATTCCCAGCACCCTGGCCTGAGTCCTCTCCCTGGGGATGGGCTACATTCCTAGCACCCTGGCCTGAGTCCTCTCCCTGGGGATGGGCTACATTCCTAGCACCCTGGCCTGAGTCCTCTCCCTGGGGCTGGACTGCATTCCCAGCACCCTGGCCTGAGTCCTCTCCCTGGGGATGGGCTACATTCCTAGCACCCTGGCCTGAGTCCTCTCCCTGGGGATGGACTGCATTCCTAGCACCCTGGCCTGAGTCCTCTCCCTGGGGATGGACTGCATTCCTAGCACCCTGGCCTGAGTCCTCTCCCTGGGGATGGACTGCATTCCTAGCACCCTGGCCTGAGTCCTCTCCCTGGGGATGGACTGCATTCCTAGCACCCTGGCCTGAGTCCTCTCCCTGGGGATGGACTGCATTCCTAGCACCCTGGCCTGAGTCCTCTCCCTGGGGATGGGCTACATTCCTAGCACCCTGGCCTGAGTCCTCTCCCTGGGGCTGGACTGCACTGCTAGCACCCTGGCCTTAGTCCTCTCCCTGGGGATGGGCTACATTCCTAGCACCCTGGCCTGAGTCCTCTCCCTGGGGATGGACTGCATTCCTAGCACCCTGGCCTGAGTCCTCTCCCTGGGGATGGGCTACATTCCTAGCACCCTGGCCTGAGTCCTCTCCCTGGGGCTGGACTGCATTCCCAGCACCCTGGCCTGAGTCCTCTCCCTGGGGATGGACTGCATTCCTAGCACCCTGGCCTGAGTCCTCTCCCTGGGGATGGGCTACATTCCTAGCACACTGGCCTGAGTCCTCTCCCTGGGGCTGGACTGCACTGCTAGCACCCTGGCCTTAGTCCTCTCCCTGGGGATTCTGTGTCAGTCCATCCCTGATCCCAGCCTGTGCCCGGACCCCTCAACTCCTGCTCAGTTTCTCCCATCCAGCCTGGACCCCAGGCTTGGTTTGCTGACTTCCAGCTTCTGGGGCTTGTAGTTTAGCCTGATACCTTACCGAGTCTCTGACCTCCACCTCACCTCTCATTTACAAGGCTAATTTGCCATTTTCCTTGATTCTATGACACATTTTATTTTCATCTGTAGTATTTTGGAAAATGAGCAGATTCTTACAATGACGCGGCATTTCATGTGGTACTGTTGCCATCCTTTTCCAAAGCAGTTATTCAATCAATGAAGCATCTTATAACTCAAGGATTATGCTATACACACTTCTCCCTTGGGGTTCAATCTCTAGCTTCTATCCTGCTACGGTGATTTTGCCTGCTGGCCTGGCCTCAACTCCTGGCCTCACCTCCTCATAGGAGGTGAGAAACAATAAGCTAGGCCTGATAACTTGAATGTTGGAGTGATAACTCTAAGAGCAACAGCCAGAAGTACTGAGTCTGCATTCATAAAATCCAACCGACCGTGCCTACTCAGCGGAAAAAAATATTGGTATTTGGTTTCTGTTAGTTTATTATTACCGTACTATAGGAGAGTCCTAAATAGCAGGTTAGGGTTTGTAGATCAGCATCTACTTTATGCTGATTTAAAAGTTAGGAAATCCCGCTCAAGTCATAGTGCCAACTATCCTGACAAAGAGGGTTTCTTTGGTGAAAGTCATAGTTGTAGAAATTATTTCCATAATTACATCTTCTATAACCCTAGACTATCAAAAAAGGCAGGAAAACCTATACTGACATTTAAAGTGAAGTAAGATGATATGATTAAGTTTTTAAATATAGAAGGTCCTACAATAAATGAGTTATATAATCAAAATGACCCAGAAAAACAATAAAATTGTCATAGAGAGTTCAGGAATATAGCAACCTTCCTTTGCTCCCTGCCTCTCCCCACAATTCCTTGTGGCACATTCCATTCTTTGGATAAAAAAATGACAGTCAAAATTTGCTGAAAATACCCATACTTTCCTGTATTTATGTACATTCTCCTCCCCTTCTGAAATATCCCCTGGTATCCATCCATTTTTCAAGGCCAAGCTCACATACCTCAAACCCTGTGGAACACTCCATAGATGGGTTTCTGACTCCACAGAATCAAAAGGAATTTCCTCTTTCCATCAAAATTCCCACTGAATCTCTTTTATAATGCAGACCCTAATTTATGACACTTGTATTCTAGTTACATGCCACATATCTGAGTCACATCTGTAGCCATCTATCAATGTTCATTGATTAAATGAGTCACTCAAAAATATTTTTCACTAGGGACTTCCCTTGGGGGGCCAGTAGTTAAAACTCTATGCTCCCAATTCAGGGGGCATGGGTTTGACCCCACGTCAGGGAATTAAGATCCTGCATGCACATAGTGCAGAAAAAGAAAAAGTCTCACTCAAAATCATATGCTAATAAAAGTAAAATTTCTCCAGAATTAAACTATAGCAATGAGCACTTTCCTTAATAGCAAAAAATAGTCTTAAGAATATTGTCTAAAAGAAAAAAGTTAAGTTGCCTCTGTCTACCACATGATACTACTATTCCCCTCCCTACTGAGAAAAGACAGGGAGGGAAAGAGAACAGAGGAAAAGAGTTAAAGATGCTACAAGGGATAATTCAGTTATCTGGTCCTGCAGACAGTAGCCAACACTAGCATGAGCCTGCCCGGGAATGCAGTCACTTTTCCCACAAGGTATCCCATGAACAGCTGAAGACCCCTAATAATAGGACCACGGCTACACTTCCCAAATGAGTTCAGGGATCATACTGTGGAGAGTATGGCCAAGTTTTCTTGCAAAACACAACAGTGTGATCAGGATGGTGTGAGAAGTTGTACCTGACAGACAGCCCCTATCTCTCACGGGCATCCAGGCTCTCTTGGATTGTTAGTTTAGAAGGAAGAGGCCCAGGTACCAGCATCGGAAGGCACTTGAGAGTTCTCAAGTGTATGTGAAAAGTCAGGTAATTGCTGTATTTTGGTTTTGCCAGTATATGGGAGTAGCTTGTGTATAGGTTGTTTACGGCTATGAAATTAAACATTTCCTGCACTTTCCCTCAAGTGTGTGTGTGTATGTGTGTGTGTTCATGGGAGGGAGGGAGAGAGGGAATTCTCAAGAGTGTTTATTTCCATGGTAATACATCTCATCCAAATTCTCACTGCACTACAATAAAAAGATTGTGAGCCTCACTCAATTTGAATCTATTCTGCTCTTTATTGTCGGAAGAGAAATGAGCTTAACTGATACATGTCATGGTTAAAAATGAAGTGTTTAAAAGTTGTTTCTGTAAAGTTTTCCCTGGTATCTTGACAAAGATAGAAAAATGGTATTTACTGAAGATGATGAACAGTA